TGACCAGGGCCTCATGTACGAAGACTTGCGTGGAAATCTTACTAAAACATTGCGTATGCACAAAGCTGTAAATGTGCGTACGCAGAAAAAAATTCAGATGTATGAAACACTGCGAACGCCGAATCTCACGCATATTCTTTTGTACATCCGAATGAACGTGAAACTGAGCGCAACATGCACGAGCACAAAACCCCTCCCTGCCTCCTCCCCCGTATGAATATGCTAATGACTATGCTAATGGAAAAACCCAACGAAAAAGCAATGACAAAATCAAGCAAAAAGAGAAACTTTGAACAGAATGTGAAATTGAGGTGCTGCTTTTGGAGGCAGACCGGAGAAAAGTGGTGTTATTTGCAAGTTTGTTCTCCGGAATTAACAACAATGGAAAAAAATTGAGTGGGAGAGTTTAGCTGATGCGGTTAACACAGTTGGGTCTGAACATCGACTGAGTGCATTAAAAAAGAAATAGTGTGGTTTATATCTGTAAAATGTTGCTGTACCCTTAGCAGTCTCAGTGGCGCACCTCGTAAGACGCATGTGATCATGTAATGACACGTTTGAGCATAAACTCGGCTCGAATCCGGCGTCTGATGAACTCATTCTTCTTTTTTTCCCCGCTACATATCAGATTTTGCCCACTATTTATCACGAGAAAGACAAGTAGGAATCATCAATAAGTTTGTGCATCATATTTTATTTGCACATTTATTGAATGGAAATGTTTCTGATTCACTCATGCAAATTCATCTTCGGATAGTGTCTTTATAGCAATGTGCGTGCGGTAGATTGCTCAGATTACATTGGGAACACAGGCGACTGCTGCAAATTGTGCTTTAATGTTTAGCTGGTCAACTGTATGGTATGGAAACCTTACATACCTACTAGATGAACCCGTCTCATACAGCTGCCATTGCAAGGCTCAGACACTTTGTAGAGAGAAAAATTAACACAACTGCCTCTAGGAGTCGCCAATGGAAATAAAGCAGACACGCACAAAAAATGTGCGTACGCCAGCCAGAAGGCTGCCGTTAAGCTGCGCACATTCCCACGTTCAGTTCATTGTTAGTAAATCCAAACGTGAGCAATTCTGAGCATGAAACCTGGCGTACGCAGTTTTTGTTTTTGTGCGCAGCAGCGTTGATACATGAGGCCCCAGGTGCTCTGTCTGTGTTGAGTCGATATGAGGAAAACCCTATCTTGGATTATCTCTCGCAAGGCTGCGGACAACATACCTGGCCATGTACTGAAACACTGTTATACACAATATATCACAATAATACTGGTACCAAATAAATCATCTGAATCTTGTTTATACAACTACTGTCCCTATAGCACTGCGTCAAGTCATGTTGCTGTGCTTTGAGAGGTTTATCATGCACAATATCAAGACCAGCTTCCACAATGCACTTGATCAGCTCCAGTTTGCATATCTTTCAAATCACTTTATAAACGACGTAATTTCCTCCACCCCCCACCTGGCTGTTACCCACCTAAAACTAAAGACTCTTGTGTTAGAATGCTGTTCGTCGACTTCAGCTCAGCATTCAACACAATAATACCACAACAGCTCATTAATAAACTAAAACAGCTAGACTTGAACACCTACCTCTGCTATTGGATCCTGGACTTTCTAACTGGAACACCTCAGTTAGTCTGTGTCAGCCACAACACCTCAAGCACTACCACACTGAGTATAGGTGCTCTACAACAGGCTATGTACATAGCCTGCTGATCTTCATACTGCTGACTCGTGACTGCACTGCCAATTTGCTGATGACACAACAATCTCACAAAAGGTCTCATTAGCACACCAAAAAAATGCAATACGGAGAGGAAGTAGCACAGCTGGCTGAAGAGTGTGGCACTAACAACCTATCTCTCAATGTAAAAAAGAGAAAGGAGGTCGTGATGGACTTCAGGAGAAACTCTGTTGACCACCCCCACTGACCATTGACAGCTCGACTGTGGAGAGATTTAGCAGCACTAAAATATTATGGGTGCATTTCACAGAAGATCTCACCTGGACCACAAACTCCATGTCCCTTTTCAAGAAGGCACACCATTGTCTACAATTTCTTCACTAGCTAAAAAGGCCAGGTTTCCCTGTACCCATTCTCACCACCTTTTACAGGTGAACCATTAAGAGTGTGCTGACCTGCTGCATCACTGTCTGGTATGGAAATTGCTAACCGCAAGATCCTTCAGCGGACAGTGAACACAGTTGAGAAGATCAACTGTGTCCCTCTCCCCTCTATTCAGGACATTTTCCTTTCACAATGCTCCAGCAAAGCTACATTCAGCAATTTCACAAGAAGAGGCTGTACACACAGGAAGTGCTTATTATACTAAGGAACTGACGTGGATGAAGTGTCAAGCATGAGTGATCTACATGTTAAGTCAAATAAGTCAAAGATGTGTATAGACATCCCGCGGCATGATCCGCATGAATGAAGCAACACGAGTTTGACGTTTGACGTGCTTATTGCACATATCGTGTGAATCGTTCGAGACGGAAAATCTGAACTTCAGCGACAGTAGCACCAGTTTAACCAATCATGAGCTTGCTTTTGTAGGGGATTGATGACGTAGTGCCTGTTGTTAGCGTCCGAAGGAAAACCCTTTTGCCGACCAGACAACAGTTCATCAAACTGGGCTTGGCTCAGTCTGAAGCACCGCTGAAAGCCTCCGTCATTCAGGTATAATTTCTGAAGGAGTAATGAACTCACACAGTTGGCACTTAGACACGGTGCCAAACAAATCTACACAGTTTTTCAGCCTTCCTAAAGCACATAAACACCATGTTAGAAGTTTATCAACGAAGTTAGTGTCATCAGGAAGACAGAAACCCCGAACTTGATGCGAATCCACATGTATTGTGAAGTGAATCTGATGCGCAAATTAAGCGAATTAGACGCGAATGAGGCGGGTGAACGTTCGAGGTTACAGATGTAAACCTTCGTTCCCAGAGGAGGGGAACGGAAGTGCCATAAGTGGATGAAATCCACGATGGGAGGATTCGGATCAGAAGCCGCTTGTCTGGAGAGTATTGAACGGGCCAATGAATGAAATTAATTGGCAGCGTAGGCTTGCGCAGGTGCACACCTGAAGCTAGCAAACGCCATCCTTTTAAGCTGAAGAGACTTTCAAACAGCTAAGGGACAGTCATTATGGCGACGGAGTATGGCACTTCCGTTCCCCTCCTCGGGGAACGAAGGGTTACTTCTGTAACCTCAAACGTTCCCCTTCGGTTGGGGAACTTCAGTGCCATAAGTGGATGAAATCCACGATGGGAGAAGTATGGAAAGCGCCATAATGACTGCACCTTACCAACGCCCCCGATGAGGAGATAGTCAAGCAAGCGTGATGCACCCACATCATGGGAGGCGCGGTCCTCCAACGTGTCCCTGGCCCTAATTTATCCTACTTCAACAGAAGTTTTACGGATTTAGATATATTTTTTGGGAAGTCGTGAGCATCTAGATAATTCTAGGAAATACGACAGTACGTTGGGAAGCGTGCAATCCCGATAGGGAGGACGCTGCGGAGGCCATCCGTTACCCAAGGGGGGGATAGATGGCAGAATTTACATATGGACTAGCCCTAAAAAGGGGGAGTACTCATAGCAAAAGAGTGGTTAGCGGAGAGGGAAGACACGGGTCCGCCCAGGGGGGAGACTTAACCGTGGCGGAATAAGCATATGGGATCGCCTAGTGGGGATCACGCATAGCAGGCACCTATACCCAAAATGCGGGCTGACCAGTGGGCAGACCTACAACGTAGTGGGCCAGCAAGTGACTCCTCCGCTGAGTCAGTGCTGTGGGCCACGGAGGAATCTGCAGGGCTCACCTGACGGGGAACTTTACTGACAGATAAAAAGGCGAACGTACCTCCGTGTTAGGGAGAATGGCGCAGCAAGCGTGTTTCAACACCCTACCGAGTTGTCTCCTCAATCACCAAAGGGTTACCTAATACCCTTGAGGAAACCGGCTCCACTCGCAGATTGTAAAACTTTGCAAATGTGTTGGGTGTCGCCCAGCCCGCAGCTCTACAGATGTCTGTTAGAGAGGCGCCGCGTGCACGCGCCCAAGAGGATGCAACGCTCCGAGTGGAGTGTGCACGTACTCCCGGGGGACACGGCTGACCTCGACTCGAATAAGCGAGTGAAATGGCATCCACAATCCAGTGGGATAATCTTTGTTTCGATACGGCACTTCCCTGCTGCCGACCGCCATAACAGACAAAGAGCTGCTCGGATGATCTAAAATTCTGAGTACGGTCCACATAAATGCGCAGAGCGCGAACTGAACAAAGTAAAGAAAGGGCTGGGTCTGCCTCTTCTGGGGGCAGCGCTTGCAGGTTCACTACCTGATCTCTAAAGGGGGTGGTAGGAACCTTGGGCACATAACCGGGGCGGGGTCTCAGGATGACGTGAGAGTAATTCGGCCCGAATTCCAGGCACGAGTCACTGACTGAAAATGCCTCCAGGTCCCCGACCCTCTTGATGGAGGCCAACGCAACCAGCAGAGCTGTCTTCAGGGACAGAAATCTTAGAGATACTGATTCGAGTGGCTCAAAGGGATCGGATCGCAGACTCGTGAGAACGAGGGCGAGATCCCAAGAGGGCATGAGAGGGGGGCGAGATGGATTAATTCGCCTAGCAACCCTAAGGAACTGGATGACAAGGTTATGCTTTCCCATGGTGCCGCCAGCTACCGCGCTATGATAAGCGGAGATGGCGGCCACGTAAACCTTGAGAGTGGAGGGCGACAGCCTGCTGTCCAACTTCTCTTGAAGGAAAGAGAGCACAACACTAATCTGGCAATTTCGGGGGTCTTCTCTGCGAGAGACGCACCATTCAGTGAATAGACTCCACTTCAGGGCGTAGGCGCGCCTCGTGGAGGGGGCTCTAGCCTGAGTGATGGTATTAACCACCGCAGTCGGTAGGTTACCTAAGTCTTCCTCGCGTCTAGGGACCACACGTGGAGGTTCCAAAGATCAGGGCGAGGGTGCCAGATGGTGCCCTGTCCCTGAGAGAGTAGGTCCTCTCTCAAAGGGATCCGCCAGGGGAGGGCCGTCGCGTGGAGTGAGAGCTCTGATATCCAGGTCCGGTTGGGCCAAAGGGGCGCAACTAGCAGAACCTGTTCCTCGTCCTCCCTGACCTTGCACAGAAACTGCGCGAGCAGGCTCACTGGGGGAAACGCATACTTGCGCATGCCCCGAGGCCAGCTGTGGGCCAGTGCATCCTTGCCGAGAGAGCCCTCGGTCAGGGAAAAAAACAACTGGCAGTGAGCGTTCTCGGGGGAAGCAAACAGATCGATCTGGGCCTCCCCGAATCGCGCCCATATCAGTTGAACAGTCTCGGGGTGGAGTCTCCATTCTCCAGGGCGTAACAGCTGTCGTGAGAGCGCAACGGCTGCACGATTGACCGTGCCTGGAACGTGAATGGCGCGCAGCGATTTCAGCCGCGGGTGACTCCAGAGGAGCAGACGGCGGGCGAGCTGAGACATGCGGCGAGAGCGCATACCCCCCATGCGGTTGATATATGCCGCCGCCGCCATACTGTCCGTCCTGACCAGCACGTGTTGCCGCTCCAGCACCAGTAAAAAGCGGTGGAGAGCGAGGAACACTGCCAACAGCTCTAGGCGATTGATATGCCAATGCAGCTGGGCACCCTTCCACAGGCCCGCAGCCGCATGCCCGCGACACACAGCCCCCCAACCCGTGTTGGAAGCATCTGTTGAAACAACAACATGGCTGGACGCCTGTCCTAGAGGCACACCGGCCTGTAGGAACGAGGGGTCGTTCCAAGGGCTGAGGGCGCGGCGACACAGCGCAGTAACCGAGACCCGGTGTGTGCCCGCGTGCCATGCGCGTCTGGGGACCCGATCGTGAAGTCAGTGCTAAAGTGGTCATATATGGAGCAACCCGAGCGGCGTGACGGCGGCTGCGGATGCCATAAGCTCCAGGAGCCTCTGAAAGAACTTCAGTGGGACCACTAGTTTGCTGTCGAGCTCCCTCAGACAGTTCAGCAACAGGCGAGCGCGTTCCTCGGAGAGGTGCGCTACCATGGTGATCGAGTCCAGCTCCATCCCGAGAAAAGAAATCCTCTGCACGGGGGCGAGTTTGCTCTTTTCTCGGTTGACCTGAAGCCCCAGTAGGCGGAGATGCCGAAGCACCTTGTCCCTGTGCATAATCAATTGCTCCCGCGAGTGGGCTAAAATCAGCCAGTCGTCGAGATAATTGAGTATGCGAATGCCCGCGAGCCGAAGGGGCGCTAGGGCACCCTCCGCGAGTTTGGTGAAGACCCGCGGAGACAGAGAGAGCCCGAAGGGGAGGACCTTGTACTGCCACGCTCGACCCTCGAACGCAAACCGCAGAAATTGGCGGTGGCGTGGAAGAATGGAGACATGGAAATACGCGTCCTTCAGGTCTATGGCTGCAAACCAATCCTGAGGACGAACGCATTGGAGAATGCGCCTCTGCGTGAGCATTCTGAACGGCAGCCTGTGCAGACAGCGGTTCAAAATGCGCAGATCTAGGATTGGCCGTGACCCACCGCTCTTTTTGGGTACGATGAAGTATGGGCTGTAAAACCCACTCTCCATCTCGGCTGGTGGAACCGGCTCGATTGCACCCTTCGCCAGGAGGGCAGCAATCTCCTCTCGCAAGACAGGGGCAGACAGGGGGTTGACCCTGGAGAAATACACGCCCGTAAACATGGGGGGCCGTTTCGCGAACTGAATCGCGTAACCGAGTCTGATTGTGCGTATGAGCCACCGCGAGGGGCTGGCCCGCGCTAACCAGGCAGGCAGAGCCCTCGCTAATGGAGTCATTGCTACAATCGCTGACGTACCAGCGGTGGGGCAGCGCGGAGTGGGTGTGCTGATCCGGGAAGCACGAGGGTCCCGCGGAAGAGCTGGAGGAGAGCGATTCGCTCTGGCTCCGCACCCTGACTCCGGAGAGGGGGCTGGAGGGCTGAGGGAAAGGGGGACCATCCCCCCAGCGCTCGTGAGCCACTGGCGAAGCACGTAGAGTCTGCGAACCGGAAGGCAGCGCGTCCCGGACTGGCAGAACTCGTGCAGTCACATCCGGGGAAGGGAAAAAGTGCTCTTTTACTGATGTTTTGGTGGCACTGTAAAGTACCGTTGTTATCACGCCCGTAAACTTGGGGGGCGGTTTCGCGAACTGAATCGCGTAACCGAGACTGATTGTGCGTATGAGCCACCGCGAGGGGCTGGCCCGCGCTAACCAGGCAGGCAGAGCCCTCGCTAATGGAGTCATTGCTACAATCGCTGACGTACCAGCGGTGGGGCAGCGCGGAGTGGGTGTGCTGATCTGGGAAGCACGAGGGTCCCGCGGAAGAGCTGGAGGAGAGCGATTCGCTCTGGCTCCGCACCCTGACTCCGGAGAGGGGGCTGGAGGGCTGAGGGAAAGGGGGACCGTCCCCCCAGCGCTCGTGAGCCACTGGCGAAGCACGTAGAGTCTGCGAGCCGGAAGGCAGCGCGTCCCAGACTGGCAGAACTCGTGCAGTCACATCCGGGGAAGGGAAAAAGTGCTCTTTTACTGATGTTTTGGTGGCACTGAAAAGTACCGTTGTTATCGGGGCCCCACCCTCCAGCGGGGAAAGAGCAAGTTTCCTCTTCTCCGGATGGCCTGTCTCAGGGACGCTTCGCGGTCCGTTTACCGGACTTAACGGCGCCCTGGGCAGGAGGGGCTGCCTGCTTTCGAGGTGTACGGAGGGGGCGAGCGGGTCCGGATCTTCGTCGGACAGTGAAAGCCCACCCTCCGATGCCGCGGAGGACATCTGATCTCCGGTGTCAGCGAGTGTGAGAGCTACCATCTGGTTAGACGGATCACTCCCACTACCCGAAGCTTGGATGGAGCGCCGTGAGGAGCGAGAGGTCCGCGAGCCCGTGGGCGGCGGATTATCTCCCGCTGAAACCCTCAGATCTGCCCGAGCGCCCGCTGCTTTTTTAGAACAGGAGGCAACTGGGGTGGCTCGCTCTCTTGCGAAAGTTAGCCGCGATCTTAGCTGTGCAACGGTCATGGCATCGCAATGACGACATGAACCGCCCGCGAGCACCGCATTAACATGCTGGACCCCCAAACATGCAATGCAGTGATCGTGTCCATCATCCGGAGCCAGGAAACCCCCGCATCCAGAAACGCACAGTCGGAGCGCCATCCTGAAAAGGACGTGCTGCACAACTGTGTTGCTCTTTTAGGAAAGTTTGCAACAATATGCACCGCTCTGGAGGACCGGACCCAAAGAACCGCAGGCAAGGGAGAAACCCAGCTCGACCGTCTGCCACCGCGAAGACCCACTCTGGACCGGGAGACACACTCGTTCGCTCTGAAGTGCTGAACAGCAAGAGGAACCCTCATCGACTCACTCAGAAAGGATCTGAAGCGAAAAGGATGGCGTTTGCTAGCTTCAGGTGTGCTTATATGCTGAGATAATTGCAGATGCCGCACACCTGCGCAAGCTTACGCTGCCAATTAATTTCATTCATTGGCCCGTTCAATACTCTCCAGACAAGCGGCTTCTGATCCGAATCCTCCCATCGTGGATTTCATCCACTTATGGCACTGAAGTTCCCCAACCGAAGGGGAACTCAATATGTCCACGCGTCTATTTACACATGAATAGCATGATTTTTTATGGAGAGAGAAGAGTGTTTCTACAGGACCACACAAGCCCACACACCTGTGTGAAGCAGACTTTATAAATGCATAGTGTATTGTTTTTATTCTTTTTCTTAAGAAAGTGTTTGGTGCAAATGTCCAATTGTCAGTTAAAGTGTCAGAGAGATGAAAGAATGTGTTTTCTACAGGTGCTTTGTCACTCATCTGTGTGAGGCACACACAGTTTAGGGTTGTCGCCTAGTAAGTAGGGGGAGTAAAGGTTCACATGGATTCAGGTTTAGTTTACATGGGTCCTGGGGTTTATTCTTCATAGCTCGCTTAAATGATTTAAGATGATTTGGCAGACCCTGGATGTTTTATTCTTGATATCTGATCTCTGGCTAATTTGGTCCTTCAAACAAGTTCGCAAATCAGATTAGAATGTCTGGATGAACTGATCTAAGATCGCTGCATGTGTTGTGAAGGACTGATCTATCGATCCTCAAAATCATGATCAGCAAGGCAACGATTGGCTGACGGCACAGCAGCGTAATGACATCATCTGATTAATATTCAATTATCCATGTGAGCTAAATTACATCAAATTAGTAGCAAACTGTTTGTTTAATATAATACACAATAAGTTTACACCTTGTTGTGTGCTGCATGCTTTACACTTTCATGTGTCAAGAGCAATTTATTAAGTTTTACAGTTGGAGCGTTTTTTTTTTATATTATTATAGTAGTATTATTGTAGCTGGTTTTTAATCGGTGTAAAGAATAACAGGATGTTTACAAAAGCATTTTGATATGGTAAAGATGTCTGCAACTTTTATGAAGCATCAAATCACTGTCATATTAACTGTCAAAACATGTTTATGACTGCATAAATGTATTATTGCTTTTTTAAAAAAGTCACATATTGTGTATGTCTATTATCATACACAAATTGTAATAAAGTGATCTAAAAAGTTCATGTCAATAAGTTTTCTCTTTGCACCACCAGGTGGCAGTCTTTGTACTTTCATTTCAGGGGTGCAGACTGCATAATTTATATATATATATATATATATATATATATATATATATATATATATATATATATATATATATATATATATATATATATATATATATATATATATATATATATATAAATAAATATATTATATATATATCTTTACTTGAACTGACCCGATCTAATCCTGTTTATATCAATTGAACCTGCTCCCGACCAGGTTTGAGCTACTAGAACTGTTGCTATGACAACAACTCTCGGATCAGTTTTGAAAAACGAATCGATCCTGAATTGTGTCAAATCGTCAAGAACCAAATACAGCCAACTGTGTAATCCACGTACGAAGAACGGATCCCAAGTGATTTTATGAGATGAGTTTTTTGTTGTCGTTTGACACTAGTGAATCAGCAGTCCATCAGCATGCAACATTGAAGAAAAATATTTTGAACTTATAGCCTCTTTGTGAAGCTATCACAAGGCAGCGCTCACTTTCCAACAAGAGGGAATGTAGACCTTCAGGAGTAGGTGGAGGTAAGAGGGTGCAGTCCTAGTGGTTGTTCTGTAAGCAAGCATCAATGATTTGAATTTGATACAAGTCTCAACCGGCAACCAAATCAGTGAGATAAAGAGAGGTGTTACATTTGCTCTCTCTTATTGAAGCCCTGACAAGCTACAGTATTCTGGATAATCTGTAGAGGTCTAAAGGTGCTAGACATGAGTCCAGCTATAACATCTAAGATTAAAATTAAACTATCAAGTACTGGTAATAATACATCAATAGTCTGTAAATGAGGTTTGGATAAGTGAGCACTGTTTGCATCACGAGTAAGTGAACAGGTCAATGATATATACTTCATATACTTTATTCCTGTTTATGTAAAGCACTTTGAATTGTCACTGTGTAGGAAATGTGCTATATAAATAAACTTACCTTGCCTTGCCTTACTTCTTCGGTAAACAATGCAGAAACTAGCTGGAAGCTGTTTCAACATCCTTGAACTGATCCTAAAATCTAGGACTCACAGAATTGAACCTCAAATAGGTGCAGAAGGTCCTTAATAACATAGAGCATGCACATAAGGATACTTTTGAGGTGAAGGTGTGTAACCTCTTAACATCTTCGCAGATGTCTGAATGACTCAGTTGTCATAATGTCAGACTGAATTTGATGCGCAAAACATTATCATGGAAGAAAACTCACCCTGCGTTTGACGTAATCCATCTATAACACTTTCACTTTCCCGTGTTTTGAAATGTTACTTTGTGGCAAATATACACAATCTGTAGTGATCATTTTTCTCACATCATACCTCAATAATAAAACCAGGACAACTACATTTTTGAGATTTTAGCCTAGATTTGTAGGAATCTTTTGTATGATTTCCCTATTTTGTCCCAGATAACCTAGTTGTGGCTGAAATTGCATGGTATGAGCAGGGCTTTAGCCAAAACACTCTGGCATATAGACTGGGTGGGACTGTGTTGTCTTTCCAAATAAAGACTCTTTGTTTGTTATTGGCTTTCTGCTTCCTTGGAGGCTCATTATGAACCCAAATTTGTGTCTGTTGATGCCAGAGGCCGAACCTCAAATGGTACAGCTTAGAAAATTTTGGATGTTCTGCTTGATTTTACTAGAGAAAGGAAACTGGGAACTAATGTAGTTGTTCTGTTTGAGTTGTCTCCCTGGAAGCAGTGTGAAGGTATATCCATTTATTTTATGGTTAGAATTTCAATGGAGAATGTCCTGCTTACGTACATAACCCATGTTCCCTGATACAGAACGGAGAAGTGTGTTTAGTAACAGACAATGGGAGATTTTTAGATCAGTCATTCTAAAGAGTAAGAAAACGGGTCTTCCCCTTCATTGGAACTACAGCGTGTGTCTGGTAAAGGACAATGGGAGAATGTATGGAAAAAGCCAAAGCAGCTAAGCCCGTCATAATAAGCTCCTAATGTGAAGTTTGCCAAGCATAGCGTGAGCACACCAGCATCACCAAAAGCACAACCTTCTAACGTCCCCTAGGCCCTTTAATTATCACTACATGGGAAATTTTAGAAATTTAGATTGGGGGTTGTTAATGTGCTTTTACCCAACTAATATAGACTAAGGAATTTAGAAATACGACA